TATATTGTCACGTGTATTAGTGACTAAAGACTACGTCCTCGGACATAGAAAACACTGTTCCTGTAGTGTTGGCTGAGTGTGTGTTGCGGGCGTTGTCTAGCAACGGCCGATGTTTACAGATTCACTGCTTAGCAACGGGTCTATATGCTCCTATATAAAGGTTCATTTATGGCCTTGTATAGAACATGGTCCGTTGGATAAATATATGTGAAAATTGGAATTGCTCGACAAGATTTAGTGGAAGTATCGTATATCGTATTTGAAGAATATCAGGCCAGCGGTAATATGTAAGGAAAAATTGCTCTTGTGCATGAATTAATATGAGAAGTGGAGGTACAGCTCCTCCAATTTTCACATCGGCATTATTATAGATGGAGGTGAGTGGTCAGCTCCACGCCCCTACCGCTTTAATCCCAGAGGAACAGGTCCCGGTACCCACTGGACAAGAGGTTAGGTGGGCTCCAGAGCCCCTCTGGAGGTTATGGAGAAAGGAAAGATCTTGCCCCTGTGGGAATCGAATTCCAGCCGTTCAGTCCGTAGCCCGTCGCCCCATCCCCAGCGTGTGCGTGCTAACGCCAGATCACGGAAAGACGCGCGAACACGGCTCCACACAAGGCGTCCCTTCTTTCTTTGTAAAGAACACTTTCAAATCGAATTACATCGGCTGTAGTAAACTCTGTTCGTCATGTGAGTATGAGTATACGGAATAAAACACGGACCTGTGTCTAACCTACAGCCTTTATGTGTATTGTGTTTCGGGATGGCTGATACTTGGCGAAATTCTGCTTCAGAGAATTGTGGTGCATGTAGCGTGGTTGGATAAAAAAATTAGTGCAAGAAACCTAAGATGAAGGGTAAACTCTTCTGGGATATAGCGCCGTGTAGTCCGTTGAAAGTCAACCGACGTTTCGGAGGAATATAGCGCCTCCATCTTCGGAGTCGAAAAATAAGGCGAGTAAGAATTTTGTTTGGTACCTGCTTTCGCACCGATTTCTTGCTCTGCTTATACTTTGACCCGGAATATGGAGGTGATATGTTCCTCCCGAAACGTCAGTTGACTTTCAACGGACTACGCGGCGTTGTATTCCAGAAGATAGTACTCCTCATAACCGCGGCTGTGATAAATTAAAGTCCTACAAAACGGCACTGGGATCAATATTTTGGTCATCACATAGAACAATGAGTGAGTACTACCGCTTCAGGGTAGCGTGGTGCCTCCAGTTTCAAGGTAAAAGAAAGCATTATGTTTATTTGAACCGTGTTTCAGTATGGCTAACATTTGACGAAATACTCTTCGAAAGATTAACTCTTGCTTCTGCAGCCAGATTTCTGTAGCGTAGTTGGGTTTCCAAAAACTGATTTGTATAAGATCGGTGTTTTCACGGCTGTGAGATTCTGCGTTTACACCGTCTTGCAAGTGAGTACAAACGTTTGGAGTAATACTGTGCCTCCATCTTCAGGGTAAGAAGCCATTAGGTTCCTCCAGAACGTTGGTACTCACCAGACTACGCAGCATCAAAATGCATTAGACCACAATACGAAGAAATTAGGCCCGATACCTGCATATCTGTTTCAGGGTAACATAATGCCTTTATCTTCAGGGTAGAAGAAACCATTTTGTTCTTCCGGAATAGTGCATTCACCTACCAGACCACTGAGAAGAGAAAAAGATGCACTGATTAACACCAAGGGCAATAGGAGTGTAACATGGCAGAGACAGCATCTGCACAGCCCGTGCAGCTCAGTAGCTGGTCTGCAGCGGTCCACTCACCCGACAGCGGAGCAGAACCTAGCAGTCATGAAGGTACCGTAAGTTGGCATGAAGGCTGCGATGACGCTGAACACGGCGTTCACCCCGAGCGCCGACAGCAGGGTTCTGCGGCGCCCCATGCGGTCTGACAAGTTGCCCCACACAACCCCTCCCACCATCATGCCCAGGAAGGTAATGCCGCCTGCAACAGATTCACAAGACACAAGTTTCTACGGAAAGTTGGTGGGCACTGGGTCGATCAAGAAATTATTTGCAATTATGGAACCCTCATTTGGTCCCTATTTCGGAATCAGTTGAATTCACTTGACATCTTTATATGAAATACTTCGAGGAGCCACTTCATTACTATCCTGCTATCGACGTTATGTCTGTTTGAGAATTTATGACAACCCATTTAATTATTATTCAGACCCCTCACAAAATCAGTTGAAGAGTCAAAATTATGAAGCTCTTCATTACTTAATTCTTTCTTACGTCCGAATATTTTCCTAAACACTTTGCCCATATATGTTATCCCTGCTTTATAGGAAGTTAGAAGTGAAAAATTTCTTTCAAACTTTCCACAATTTTCACAAGATTTGATTGGAATCCACAGAGGAGCTTAATCGGTATAAATATTATACTTTGAGATGGACAACCACGAAATATAGGTTAGAATCCGGGCAGGGGAAAGAGTTTTATCTCTTCTCCGCTGCGTCCAGACAGGTGCTGTGGCCCACCGACCTCCTAATCCGATGACTACCGGCATGTCGAAGCTGACCACTCACCTCCTTCTAGATATACCTCCACTCTCCCATACGTTTTCATGGCGTGGTGCTTAATTAAGCACTGGAACACATGTACCTTTCTTTTAGACTCAACAACTTTCATTTAAAACTTTTCCAATGTGGCTCATATTTCAAGAAATAAGAAGAAAAACAGTATGTGATTCTGCATTCGCAGCAAATGAACACTAATATGGCTGAGGTGCGCAGTGCCTCAGTAGAATACTTACTGAGCCATGTTTTCTGAGACGCGTTGATGCAGAGCTCGACCTCTGCGCTGGGCAGGATGAAGGGTATAACAAGGAGCTCCGCGGCGTCAGCGACCAGCCCCAGACCGGATACTAGCATCAGCAGCCACTGCGAGTAACCGCACCCGGCCTGCCAACACATGTCACTCGCTGCTGAACTGATTCTTTGTAAAGCCATATTGCCACTGGAGGCACCAAGTGTGTGCTGTCCACTACGCATGTGTACGTGAAGGACATATTTCAACATCCTCTTGTACTAGTTAAAGCTAAAGCTATTCCTGTAAGAGGCCGTGAAGTTTGTCAGACATCGAGGCTCCCACATTTACTAGACAGTCGGCTCACAGATGGCGGTGAGTTTGTCAGCCTTACACGCCGGCCACTCTTTACCCCCCAAGAAGATTCCTGGTACTCATTTCTGTTAGAAGCTGAGTCGACCTCAAGGCCATAGTGCGGCTAGGATTAGATCAACTGAAAAATTTAATGACCTCATCGGGAATCTAACCCGCGACTTTCCGGCTTATAGCATAGTTTTTCAAGCAACTACGCTACCGCGTGCCCCCGTCTTGCACTGGTTACTTATCTCATTTGCGTAGACAGTTTTTATTGTGAAACTTCTTCTTGCGTTCGTAGACTCTTGGTGTGCTACCATGTCAGTTTTCGTAGCCTTCACATCCGCATGTTTCGACCTTATATGGTCATCATCAGGCATATAAACAATTACTTCACTTGATCTATATTCTGGTATATAACGCCTTGTAATCCGTCAAAAGTAAAGCGACTTTTCAGAGGTCATGTAGGCTCCATATTCAGGGTCGAAGATCAAGCCAAAGAAGCAACCAGCGTGAAGCAGGCAGCAAGTAGAGCCATAGCTATGAGAATCTCAAATCCTACATAAAGTTCCTCTGTGCGGAGACAAGGACTGGATTTCCTATGTCGGATTTCGGTCAAATTCGATATATCGCACTTCTGTGTATTAGGTTCGAGCTTCATTTATTTTAACAGGGCAGGTTGATTCAAGCGGCGACTCTTCGGACTTGTATTCGGGAAGTGCTCAGTTCGAATCTCGACCAAGGTACCGACTAGCCTGAGGTTTTTCGTGGTTTTTCTCAGTGTCTCCAGGGAAATGCCCCGATATTGTCTTAAAAATTAGGCCTTATCGCTTTATTCTACCCCCTTTCCCCCTGTCCATCCATCCGATGCACCTTCATTAAATTATCTACTAATACATTCACTTTAATTAATTTTAAGGTCCGCTGTCGTTTGTTTCTACGTAGTCCTATATCTTTAGAGTCACTTAAGGATTCTGATGGAAGCTGACAGACTTATTCTAACTTGTATGGGTATTGCACTGCAAATATTTCGCCCCCTTCAGTTCCACTGCACACACAGTCGAGTCTTATAGGATGTGTTTAATTACGACGTGGAATGCGCTGACTTCTTGTACTGCGGGCAGTGGGCGTAACTGCACTGAAAAAACTGGCAGCAGGCCAGGGCAATGCACATTCTTCTGTCCATTAATCACGGGCGTCAGATGTTTCGGGCCCCATCTCAATCATAATCTTCGTACTCATTGATCCCGAAATTTACAGACATCGTGCCAGTCACTAACGTTATGTAAGGCTCGTGATTTTAGTCAGATGAATGAAGGTTGTGATAACGGAATAAATACGCTCTCAATTCAAATGAACCAACGGATTTACTTTAAATGCACGGATAATTCACAATGCCTTCCTTTAAACTAAATTTTGAAGATGATTTTAATAACAATAATAATAAATTTTACGAAGAAATCGTTATTTGGCACAGGAAAACTTTACTTACTTATCCTCAACCACACGAAGGAATTTCGTATTTATTTACTGAGGAGCTGTGGAAATCTACAAAAGCATTCGCTGTGAATGTGGCAGAAGCAACATTGGCGAAACAGGCAGACCTCTGGCCTTGCGGCTCCGGGAACATAGGCATAACCTCAAAGAAGGTCTTCTAGAAAAATCTAAACTAGCCCAACATGCCTATGAAGAGGGACATAGGGTAGGCTGGGATGAAGCTAAGATTTTGGATATTGAAAGCCACATGAGGTATAGTAAATACAAGGAAGCGGCCCATATGGCATGCTCGGCCAACCCAATTAGCCAACCCAGTTTGGACTTTTCTCCCATTTGGATCCCCATTATCAGCAATGAAGTCACCAATTCACATATAAGAGCTGTATGACATGATATATGTTTTTATTGATTTCTGTTAGGTCCTGAATTAGATAGATGTGATTTACTCCATTGTTGACGCTAGTTAGACACTATTAGTTTTTTACTAGTTCTCCTTTCTAGTCCATGCCGTGGGGTCATGGACCTGGTTATTAGTTTGGTTTCGGGACATGAATTTCTAAGGCTCTATCTATCCTGGTTCCACGCTTGTACGTGTTTGGAACAATGCTCTCATGGACTTAGCCTGGTTTCAGGTATTTATAAACTTTGTGTTTTGGGACATCGGTTGTCCAGTGGTTGAGGCTACCTCTTTCTAAGACACCCAACAGAGTAGGTGTTTTCCCTCACCTGAGGACAGAAACAGATCCAGTTTCCGAAACGTCGTGTTTTTCTTAGTTATCTTAAGAACCAGGACGATGGATAAAGTCCGAAACCCCAATATCTCTCTGTGTTGTACACCATCGTCAGACTCCTATAGTAACTACTCTAAATTAAATGTCTCGAGTATTTAGTTTTGTTTCGCATAATTCAACAGACCGTGTTTAACATAAAGTCGAAAGTGAGTATCGATTTTCTCAGAATGGTTCGTCGCACAAACTGCAGGCTAGATCTCACAGTTGTACAGGATGTACGTACAACTTTCATTTGAATCATTTATCGACTTAATGAATGTTTTAACTAGATAGAAAGAAAACAAGTTTCGATTCGTCTGAGACAAAATAACGTCATTACTGATAAAGTAGACATACGTAAAATCGCAAACAAAAATCCGTGGTTTTAGTCCGCAAGCGAACTATACCGACCGAGCGACCGCCGCTTGTCGGCGAAGTTAGTGCCAACTTTAGCGGATAAAGTGTGTCCCGTGGTCAGTGCAACGGATCCCGAAGGCCGTTAATCTCGGTTTTGTAGACCGGAGCCGCTATTTCCTTGAAACAACTCCTCAGTTATCATCACGAAGCTGGGTGTACCCCGTTTCAGACCCGCTATTTTTTCAGAAAAAAAATCTGGTAGCGCCTGGAATTGAACTCGGGACCTCTGTATCTGTAGCCAGGAACACTTGACCACTAGACCACAGAGGCGGTGTAAAATCGCAAAACACGCTTTGAAAAGCAGATTTAGGTACAACTTCGCATTCTTTCCATTTCAGCAGTTCAGTGCTGCCAATTAAATAACGTCCGGTCACACACAAACGTATTGACCTTCCTACATTTGAGTTGAGAGAGTTTTATGTCTTATAATTAATAATTTGGAGTAAGGATAGCTGAGTCGGTATATCAACGGACTACAGGCTTGATGGCCTTGGTTTCGATTTCCGGCAAGGGCAAAAGATTTTATTTTTCTACTCTTAAACGTCCAGACCGGCTCTGGAGCCCACCAAGTGTCTTATGCAATAGATAACGTGGGATAAAGCGACCGGGGCGTGAAACTGCCAAGAATGGTGGAGCAACACCTCCACTTCTTCTAACGTCTTCATCGCGTGGTGCTTAATTAATTAAACAAAGGAACAAGTTTAACTTACCTTTACCGTTAATCAGTAATTTATTGAACGAAGGACTTTTCGTTTATTAGATACATGCCCGGTATTGTGAACTGTATATTATGAATGCTGATGTGCACATCAACGAGTTACCGAATTTCTGTAGGCCACCTCTTCAGTCGGCTGCTATCTGACCTACGCTGAACTCCTGTATAACTGCTCACGTCAAACTACTCTTTGTCTGTTCTCCATAAACTCAACGTTTTCTCTTGTCTGCACGCCACTGCCTTACCTGTCTGATTGCATCCTCATGGAACTGTGCCAGCACCGACACGTCAGAATCTACGTAGTCCATGAGCTCCTCTTCACCCCCATCGCGGGGGGCGACGCTGCCTCCCGCCTGCCGGTCCTCGTCAGTATACGACATGCCTTCAGTGCTGCGCACCAGAGCGGCCGACTCTGAGTAAGACGTTCCGCCCCCACTGCCCCCTGCACCTCCCATTCCGTGCCGTCCAGGCATCTGGAGCAGCCCAGGTCATCTAGAGAATTCAGAGGCCTAGGTCACAATCACTGTCGCCATTTTCGTATTCTGCATCGTCTCTCAATACTCCAGGTTTCCAAAGAACGCCTGCACTGATTCGTGGTTTAAATTTGGTTCTCCACTCAGTGAAAATAAACGTCATGAAAACAATGAACAAAGCACTGAACCGACAAGTAAGGACATAAACTTCAAATTTCTTAACGTATCGTAGTGCTCCTTCCAACACTTCGAGAAATGAACAGAAATGTTAGAACATTTCAAAACATTGAGCCTAACATTTTTAAGAATTGTCGAGGGATGTTCTACTAGTAGATCAGTTAATTTCGAAGTCAAAAGTATATGGAAGAAAGTAACTATTTATTCGAAAAATGGAAGTGTAGACAAAAAGAGCTGATCACAGTGTTCGTGCGGTTCGAGGCATGAACTGTTTTCGGTCGCTTGAACGCTGAGATCGTGGGTTCGAATCCCACTCAAGGCATGGATGTCTGTGCGTGCGTTTATTCTGTGTTTGTGTTGTCCTGTGTGTAGGGAGCGGCGTTGCGACGGGCTGATCCCCCGTCCAAGGAGTCCTATCTAGTGTGTATACGATTGAGAAACTGAAAAATCAGCCAAGATCCAACAAAGGGCTGCAGAGCCATTGATGAATGAATGAAGACAGAGAAGTGACGAACTTAATAGACCCTCCCCAAGTTTTGCGAATGCGCCTAAAAACTCGTGCACACAAGCCGCAAACCGGAAAATCCGCGTACCGTAATCGGGTTAATATACAGGATGGGGCGCAGAAACTTCCTTTTTTTTTGAAGGCGAATAAAAGAAAAATTATTGCTGATAGACGAAATTTATGTTTAGCTAATGAAAGAACATACTTTAAAGTTTTAAATCATGTAATCTTAAACAAAATATCTTGAAGGTGGTGGCCACCGTTTTCTGAAGTTCCCTTCTGCACGTTCCAACATGTGCACCGGAATTTGGGCTACTTCCTGCCGAATAACATTCTTCAGCTGAAGCAGGTTTGTGGGGCGATGTTTAAAAACCTCTGCCTTGAGGTATCCCCATAAAAAATTACAGGGCGTTAGATCAGGTGAGTGCGCTGCCCACGGGATGTCGCCTCGAAGCGAGATGAGCCGTGTACCACCACAGGTACACCGCGCAACAAGAAGCGAAAAAAGAGTCCGGAATACTACAGTTCTGTTCCTAGCAAGGGCTGAGACTTTTCTCTCACTTAAGGGGCCCACACACGTACGAGTCTGGCTCGAGAGTCCGACTCGGCTCGGGTTCCAATGAGCCAAACTCGTCCGTGTGTGGCTCGCAAAGTTGGGAGTCAGCTCATGCGTCTGTGGTGAAATTAATCCGAGCCAAGCTCGCCGAGCCAGACTCGTACGTGTATGGGCCCCCTTAGACCGATTGTGGGGCCCATTTGGTCTCCTAGCTAAGGGGTACGAGGGGTTATTTTGACGTAGGTAAAGCGGCCGAAGCTGGAAACTGACGATTCACCACCAACTACTTTCAAGGTTAATGCGTGGAGCTTTATGTCGAATCACCCTATACGCCTTTATGCCCTGGCGCTTTTGTGCTGTAATTTCATTTGATCCGGAAAATTCATGCTGCTAGGTGTTACTTAAGACAAGCCGAAGTCAAAGTAAACATGTATATGCCGTGACGATAGTAACCGGATTTGTTGGCTTTGGAGAACAGCATTGAAAATCGATGAGCATGGCTAGAAGGTGCTGCCACCTGGCGGTGAATATTAAATTTCTTCGTGACTGCAATTGGCCACAACTGACTGGCTGTTGCCATATGTATATTTTGCGGGCAGAGAGCATTAAATAAGGACCCCGCATTTACCGCAGACGGGAAATTCAGAAACGTAGATCAACATGTTTATCTGAAGAATTATGTGAAACGTTTCTGACCAACTTCCTCTCATGTATTTTCTATGCATTTTCTCCTTCGTGTTGTGTTCTCCTTGAAAAATTCATGCGTACTTAACTGGCAAATAAAGTCGCACTTTTATATTGTGCATCTTGTTTTGTCGTAACGATATAATGAGGTAACATATCCGTCAACAAAACAAGGAAAATTGCATCGCATTTAAAATCAATATATCATAGATTGAATTTCGTTTTTTACTGCTACATTTTTCTGTCCTCATGGGACCATAATTAAGCAGCGTATACAATAAATGCGAGACATTAATTAACTGTATTATGTGTATTATATATACTGCCTGTTGATGGTCCCATGAGGGCCGAAACATGTAACGGTAAACAATATAATTCATTTCCCATATTATTTTAAAATTACGTGATAATTTTTTAACATTGTCGAATTTAGATATTTATAAAGAAATAGCACCAAGGTAACATATCGAGACCGGACATCACTAAACAAGAAATATTTGAATACTAACTACTACTTGAATATCAAATCATAAGGGCTATATAAACACACAACACATTGATTAGTCTATAATCGATTTCTGAATGCCGTTCTGGAAGTGCGTAACTGTCACGTGAATAAGATTATTTAGTTTATAATCTATAAGATTTTTCCTTCCTCATTTTAGTTACCCTTCACTTATTAATTATTAATTATTATTAATTATTAATCATGATCAATTCATATTTACTTCCCAGAACATCGAGGGCTTCTTTAAGCAAAAATCCGCGATCCCACCGGGGCTCGTCCCGAATTTTGGAATCAAATGCTGTGACCTATAGACTTCGCTAGGAACTAGAAATTCCATAGTAAAATATTGCTTGATGCTAACTATGTGACTCCGTGCAGTGTGATTTCGGTAGTGCTATTAGTCAGGATTCTTATTGGAAATAAATGAAAGTTAGTGGCAGTGACACATGTGAAGTATCAAACTCCGATTATACGAAGAATCCACGTATTGTACTGGTGCACGCGTTGCGGCAGGGATAGCTCAGTCACTGCAGTGACTAAGCTACGAACTAGACGATTGAAGAGTCAGGTTCGATTCCCGTCAGGGCAAGAGACTTTGCTCGCATCCACAGCGTCTAGACCGGCTCTGCGGCCCAACCAACCTCCTGTCCAATTGGGTGACGAGGCCCCTTTCAGCGGAGGCAAAGTTGCCAGGTCATGAAGCTGAACACTCACCTCTATCTAGTGCCGACGTTAAAAATGTTTGGAGCTGTATCTCCACTGCTCCATACATCATTGCGTGGCACTTAATCAAGCACAAGAGCAACTTTACCTTAACTGGAGTATACGTATCTCCTTTCTTGTTTTGAGTTATTTTCTGTGCAGAGCGAAGTTTTCTATGAGCCGATCCTTCGCAACAGTAACCCATAAGAGAATGTAAAAGTTGAATCGTGTTATTATTAATTTCAGATCCGTGATACCTGATGAATTTAAGAAAGCAGCGAGTGAAACTACTATGCAAATTTCAGAAGTTTATTTCAATGTCTTCAGTAATAAATGACTTGTGTCCTTGTATTCAGATCAGAATGAAATTATTCGAAAATGGCTCAGTCTGACTCGGGTTGCATATCTGTGGTAAGATCAAATGAGCTGTGGCCTATATATTGCCAGCTTTATCCATAACTCGCTACACCCTACAAGTAGTCAGAACCCTCTAGAATCAATTAGTATTTATTTTTATATGAAAGTCAAAGCAAGGGTCGAAATAACGGCCGGGGATTCACCGTCGCAGTCCCGGTAGAGGCAAGATTTTCCTCTCCTCCACGTCTTCCATACCGGTTCTGGGGCCCACCCAGCGTCCTATCCAGTGGGTATCGGGGGTTCATCCCCCGGGAGTTAAGTTGCAGGGGCGTGAAGCCGACCACTCAATTCCAGCTAGTGCCGAGGCTAAGAAAACGTGAGTCTACACCTCCACTCCTCCATACATCTACATGACGTAGCACTTAATTAATTAGGCACAGGAACAACTTTACCATCTACCTGTATGTGAGAACTAAACATCAAGCGATGGATTGTTGCAGTCGGTAAAGTCGTGACTGAAACAAATGAATGCCTATGAACTACGTAATGGTCGCTGTTGAAGAAAAAGAGAGGCTAGGTTTCTTTGACGAAGAGTGTGTCTTACAAGCAATGTCTGCTGAAAATGTTACATCTCTAAGGAGCTGCATAACGTTAATCTTTAAGTTATTAAGGTTAGATATTTTTGACGAATTTATTTCAATAATTTTTATTGAATTTCCAACAGACCTTACGCTAGTCTACAACTTTAATGGCAGAGAGATTTGGATAAAATAAAAGTTGAAAAACAGATCCTAAATCACAGCTAGTGAGTTGGCAGTCATGAGACGAATTGTGAAATATTCATATAGAGAATACAAAAATGTGCAAGCCAAAACAAAGCCCTAATCAACCATGACCAGTATTTTGAACTAAAAAAGAAAGAGACTTTCCACTCTGACGCACTGCAGGCAGACACACCCGAAATCAATTCTGAAGTAAATGTATAGCACGTGTCAATGTTGAAAGATGAATGGAGTCTGAAAAATATGAAAGAATTGTGATGAAACTAGTTTTAATAGAACGCTGTGGCGCAGACTGGAAAACGCCAAAAATATGCGGCACATCATTATTACGCGCATCCAACTGGAAAGGAGGGGGCGATATGCAGAGGAGGTTCTTCCCCTTTTTGTAGTGAAGAAAAGAAGAAGAATAAGATGATGAGAATTTACTTAATGGGTGGATATTCAAGTTCTAATAAGAAGTCATGCAATTTTGGAATTCTCTTCACTTGAACGGGTGTAGTTTCAATACAAATGTGACACAATATTTTCCCCGGAGATTGACTAACAATTATTTTCACGAAAGAATCACGTTTTCTTTTTTATTTCCTTCTCTACAACACGGAGGAATTTCATGACTGTCCGACGAGGAGCCGTTTCACTGTACAGTACTTGTTTGATTGACTGCAAATTGATAATGGACGCGCGTCATCTGTAACTTGCGCATGCGTTAAGACAGTTACAAATGAATGGACCTCAGTAAAAATAGAAC